CAACTGTCCACACTCTATGGTAGAGACTGAAAGACTGGAGAAAATAAAGGTATTAAAAATTAGAGACCAGCAGTTAGCGTAATGGCTATGCCATTGAACTCCCATGTAGCCGGCTGTGGTTCGAGTCCCGGACCCGGTGGCTTAAACTCACGCTGGGCACGTGTGCGTGCGTGCCCAAGATCTTGAGAGGAAAATGGAGAAGAGATTGCAGTGTGGCCATCCCCCCTGGGGGGGTGATTTCTCACTTTCTATCTCTTTGTCTCTCTCTGTCTTTCTGGTGAGCACATGCTCCCTATAGCAAAAACCTCTCCAAAAAAAAAAAAAATATTAAAAATTGTAATGGATACTAGAAACAAAGTGGAAAGAGAGTGTGGGAAGGGAAGATTGTAGGAAATCTGGGAGGAAAATGGAGAGGTAAGACACTGGTGGGACACAGATAAGGTTTATTATCTGTTGACGAGGATGTGCATGGTGGTCTCAACTGGTCTGGACTGAGGTATATATCATGCTGGGTAAAGTCTCTTCACAATCTAAATGATGTATAGTGATTTAATGTATGAATAATAAAAAATTTAAAAAATAAATAGAAAAAAGAAAATAAAGACAAAACATTTATGCAAATTATAATAAAAAGAAAACTGGTATGTCCCTATTAATGACAGATGATACACAATTTAAACATAAAGGATAAAAAACCAAAAAAATAATAATAAAAATAAAAGAAAAAGGATGACTGAGTCTACTTCTTTCTCTTATTGAACCAAGTTATTACAAGACAAATTGCTGGGTCTACTCAAAAATATAAGACAAAATTCTTTCATTTTTTTATTTTTAGGAGAGGTTTTTGCTATAGGGTGCGTGCGCTCACCAGACAGACAGAGACAGACAGAGAAACAGAAAGCAAGAAATCACCCCCCAGGGGGGATGGCCACGCTGCAATCCCTTCTCCTCCATTCTCCTCTCGGGATCTTGGGCACACACGCACATGCGCCCGGTGTGAATTTTAAGCCACCAGGTCCAGGATGTGAACTGCGGTCGACTACGTGGGAGTCCAGCGACATAGCCATTACGCTAACTGCTGGTCCCGACAAAATTCTTTTTTTAACAGTAACGTTATTTTCTATGAAGGCAGTACCAGATATTCTAGCTTTCATGTCATGACGCATTTTAATTACTTGATTCTGAAGAACAAAGTACTTCTTGGGGAAGATACACTAGTATGAGAAGACATGAATTAGGGCCAGCAGGGGATGTAGTGGCTAAGGTGCTGGACTCCCACATGGCCAACCACGGTTTGAGTCCTGGACCTGGTGGCTTAAAAATCATGCCAGGCCCATGTGTGTCATGCTCCAAATTCCAGGAGAATGGAGGAAAAGGAATTGCAGTGTGGCTATCCCCTATCCCCCAGGGGTGTGTGTGATTTCTCACTTTCCCTCTCTCTCTCTTGCGCTCTTTCTGATGAGCACACATGTCCTATGGCAAAAACCTTACAAAACTCCCCCAAAAAACAACAAACCATGAATCAATGTATATTGTTAGATGCTTATAGAGCTTAACTGGTAGTATCAGAAAGAAGAAAAAATCTAATGCCCTTATTAGTTACTACTAGGGGTGTGTAATTTCTCCATTACGATTCAGACATTATTGTCAAAAGACCTCTTAATATTGATGATGTAGATGGAAAACAAATACTCTGTATCTTATGTAAATCAAATGTGCTCTAGATCTAGAAATCTGTCATAAAATTCAGAGTGGTTCTCTGATGAAGAGTTTAAATGAAACTATCTCATGAAAACAGATTTTAATATTAAAAACTAATACCCTTTTTAAATATTATATAAAGTAATGTATCTGTAAATAAACTGATGAATATTGATCTAAGCCAAAAAAACCCAAATCCTTTCACTTGGCCCTATCATTAGGAAAACACGGGAGTGCCTGCATGTACTGTGACCCTGTCTGTGGAAGTTCACTAAACGAGGCACATGTTTCTGCCGAACCTGTTTTCTTTTCCTTCTAGGAGTAAAATCAGAATATAGTTTCTATTCCTGCT